AACTGGATTTAGCTCCATTCATCACCACTCTCTGTGCTTGGCTATTCAGCCAGTTTTTTACCCAGCAAAGCGTATGCCCGTCCAAGCCATGCCCAGCCAGCACATATAAAGCCCTTTCACAGCCGGCAGAGAATTTGGAGGGTTACTGAGAAATTTAGCTACTGCTCTAACAAAAACATTTTGATTCTTGCTAATTACCTGTTTAAATCCACTCCTCCTTCATAAGTTAATGGATGAAACACTGGAAAGAAAAAGTTTATTTGTATTGGTTGTATTTAAGTAACTATGCTATTTCAGCAGGCTATAGAATTTGAGATCTTGAGTTTTATTCTTGTTATTTTTCACTTGAAAAAAGTTTAAGATTTCTAAGAGACTCAGAGAAAGTTTCAGAAGAAATTAGTCCTTTCATAAAAGACAACTTATTGAAGCTTCATTAAATACCTGCCCCTGCCCCCACCTCCAATAAATTAAAAAAGCACAGTTGCATAATCAGGCGTTACAGATATTATTAGATATAGAACTATACATATATAAATTAATAATTAAAGCATCCTTGGGCTTTTTTGTGTTTGACGTTTTCTTCTATTTCTATAAAGTGTGTATTTACCATTGTGAGCTGCAACTGCTTCACTTCCTTTCTGCTTGTAACCAAATATTATGTCAATCCATTCATGAAGATGTTCTGATACATATTGACTTTCTAAAGCCTCTTGGCTCTTCTGAAGAAAGTCATTGGGACCTGGAAAAAGAAAGTTTGATTAAAAGAAAAGATACCCCAATTCAGCCCCCAACTCCAACACCACACACCAAACCTCAAATTTGCTGTAAAAATTAAATGCAACTATTAATTATGCCAATGTTTTAAAGCAAAAATTCCCTCAGAAGAAGACAGAATGCGCACTTTTGAGAGAAAAACCACCATCCCAGGAATCTAGATAATCTTGAATCAATTCACAATACAAGAAATTTGATTACTGTTACCTGACGCCCAAGGGGGAAGCTCTACATCTTCAACCATCTTTCCACCCTGCCTTTTTCCCAAGTCCAACTTTAAACTGTTTACTAGAAAACTAGAATCATTTTCATAAAATTCTGGAATCAACTGGAAGGAGAAAAAAAAAAATGCATTTTTCAGATTAGCTTAGCTTTGATCACTGAAGTAGAATGCAATCAGTAAAGACTTGAAGTTAACCAGTTCATATGTCAAGCCCTGAAGTTGGGTAGGAATTTTTCCAGGCTTTCTTCTCTGTCAGTAAAGAAGCACTGGAAGCTTCCTCCCATTATCCTTCCAACTACTTTTAGGCTTCCTGACTACTTATAAGGCAATTAGAACAGCATAAATATTTTTAACATGTGATGTGTGACGTAAGAATCCATAATATCTAGGAGTATCTTCAGAACACTAATTGCGTAGTTCTCTTCTCATTTTTAAGACATCAGGTAAGAGTCAAGACAAAAATCTAGAATAAAACCAGACTGATTACAGAAGTTTCAGAGGTTAAGTCAGTTATTTAAAGATTACCATAGTTAATCAACCATAATTCCATTACCATTAACTAAAGACTTTTTTTTTAAGTAACACTATATTAAACTCCTTTATCAAAGAAACCTTATTTAACAGCACCCACTATTTAACAGTTAATCAGTCTCAACACATGGTACAAGTTATGGTTTCTATAAGGCTCAAAAAAACTAAAATAAAACTTGTATAGTTAAACCTTTCCAGCTCTACTATTGTAATACAGCAAAATCCTTATGGGATTCCAGCAGATGATACATTAAATTGCACCTTTTCAGCCTTAATCCACTCTGATAATTCCCACTTATTTCAATAACATATTCACAATGACACTTCTGTTAAACTAAAAGATAGAAAGCAGACACAGACAAACAGTTATGGAATTACAGAGAAGGAAGAAGTTAAAAATGTTGAAGGACTCAAAATGCAGTCAAGAACCTTAGAAAAACCCCACACAACTAAAACTCACAAACAAGAAGACAAAAATCCAACCAAACACACACTCTCCCACCCCAAAACTCTCAAATCAACAGGAGACAGCCAAGAACAGAAAGTTTATCACAGACACCAAGAAGGACTTGAATAATTTTCCAGCCATTTACCTCTTTGAAATCTGTTGCACCATCCAAACAGTTCTTCCAAGTTTCTGCAAGACTAGATAACACATATTCATCACAGGTGTGTTAAAAACATTTTTTAAGGACTTTGCACTCCCTTGATGAATATTTGCAAACAAACCCAACCCAGATCTAGACAAACTGTAAACAAACCTGTTGAACATTCTGTCAGCATGGTCAAACTTCCCGTTCTGCAGACAGAGCATGTATTCTGGAGCTAAGGAGAAAGAAGAAGAGTCATCAGCTTGCTCCAGGCTTTGTACACCCTGGAGGTAACTGTCTGCTCAGAGAGCATGTAAAAGCTGTCTTACCAACTCTGACGAGATAAAACAAAACATAACCCGGTGATGAGTAATGACTCCCATACATGAACTTAGGCTCTGGCATTTCCTGATAACGTGTCTGCAACAGATGAAGAAGAGAGAGAGGTCTGTTTAAAATCAGCACTCCTGTTTTCTTTCAATACTGAATACATACACACTATTTTTTTTTTTCAGGACGTAAGATTAGTATCACTCTCCATTTTTTTTCTAACAATAAAACAAACTAAGTTCTAATAACCACGTAGCTTTAATCAGATCAGTAAATCAATAAAGCAAAAAAGTTGTTATAACTTGTAGTTATAGAATTATCAGGTTTTCAGCTTTTCTTCCTTTCACTTACACCTGTAGCTGCAGTGACTCAGCCTCAAAGGAGTGCTGACAAATCCTTCCTTTTTGTCTTTCACATGAAGTTTAATGAGAGTATGGAAGAACATACTGAATTAATCCAACCTGGAAGATGTTCTCCTGTCTGAAGCTCCTATGTGTTATCCCTAAAACCTATCATAATCTAAATAAAATTATTTTACTGCAGTAAGGCAGCTAACAGTTTGAAGAAGCAGTCAGATCTTAGAAATAAAACTTTACTTACTGCTATTGAAAGCATAATATTGATCATGTTCTTACCCTCCACAACCATAGGAAGCTTCATGAATTTGAAATATTCAACCTTTTTTGTCAGTATAATACGGTTAGTCTGGCAATATTTTTTTAATTCTTGTGCTTCATTAAGAACTAATAAAGGTTCCAAAACATTAAATATGGTTGTGTTCTGTAAATGATTTTTTAATAGCTAACTTACAATAGGAGACAATAATTTTATACAAAGAGTTAAAAGCCAAGAAACTGAAACCCTTCAAAGCCTGTAACTATGTCTTTGACTACTTATGAAAAGAAAACCTGACTACTTTGAGAAGTGGAAAAACTTTGTGCCCTATTGTCTGCACGTGGAAATTTTGAGTTGGTACTCTGATCTCCATGGATCCAGATTTCCTTCCTTAGGAGTACTCTTCCTCAAATTCAGCATTTTTCTTAACTGGAAGTACTTAAGATTTCTACTTTGTCTTATTTAACTCATATACATATTTTATATCACCCATTTAAATCCATTGGTCTTGAAGTTTTTTATTTCCAAATATGTTTATAGCATCTTAGTGCCTGCCACACAAATGCAATTACAACAGTTGAATGGATTTAGGAATTTTATTTTAAAGTGACATAAAACATTTAAAAGCACATATGTTTGAAATGGTAGCAAGAGATGGGAAATAGATTGAAATAACTTTAAATTAGTACTGACAAATCAGTACAGATAAAAATCAAGCTGAAATTAAATGACATTTAATTGGTAAGTTTGCTTCTGATAAGTCTTATAGTTAGTTTTAGATAACTACAGAATTCCCAAAGCTTGCTTGACAAAGCTCTTTTTATTGCCAATAGGTACAATGCCCAAAATGTGCAGCACATAAAAGCCAATATTATACGTACCAATAACCTATCCAGCCTTTCCTTATTCAGGGCACCAATTGGTTTACTAAGGTCACGAAATGTTTCAGGCTTTGTCAGATCTAAAAAAAAAAGTAATAGTTAAATGCATTGTTTCCACTAGACAGGAATGTAATCAGTATTTTCAGAGAAACAAATAAAAGACCTTTAACAATACAACAAACTAAAAAACCCACCACAGAACCCCTTCAGTAGTTTTCTCTGCTCCCTAAAGAATAAAAGTCTTACTGTAAATGGCTACTCATCCCCTTCCTTCTAAGGAGGCTTAATCTGAAACCTTCTGCTATGATCTAGTAGTGACATACATGCAATAGCCATTGCAACCAAAGTCACCTTGTCAATACAGATCCTGCTACCTGAGGCACAGAAGCAGCTCATATCTTCTGTCCATTCATTAACTACTCTGTCATGCTACAATTAAGGCCCATCAAACGATCAGATTGCAGTGTCTGAGCCAGTGCTGATGAGTACCATGAGATTTCACTACTCTACTCCTCATAGAGAGACAGAATCCTCAAAAGGTCGAACTTGCCACACACTGCAGAAAGACCCTTGATTTAGGCACAAACCTTGATAGCCTCTTCCTTTCAATCTGCAATGCTAAGAACTGTAGAAGAACACTTGGATCCTGTACATTTCAATGCATCCAGCTTGTTCCGTTAAAGGCCATTTTAATAGTTCTTTTGCATTTATTGGAATCACAGGAAGTGTCTGAATGCTCAGGACCACAGATTTTCAAAGTGACTGAGCAGATGCTTGGTACACACTGTATGTGATGAGTGGAATATTTATCAGAAAAAGGTGAGGTATTTTGTCGATAAAACTCCAGGCTATGGACAGGTTATGTGTAATTGCACAAGAAAATATTCAAGATTGCTAACACCAGGCACATTTTGATGTACCATGAACTTCACACAGTGCAAACCCACCCCAACTCCACCCATGCCCTCACCCTCCAAGAGATATTTCACATTGGATGTGATAGACTAACATGCCTTTTTGTACACACATACCTAATACTGAACTAGAGTAGTCTGCTATGATCCATGGAAATACAGGATACTGGGAGAGATCGTTGCAGCTCCTGTCAGCAAGATTGTTGAGATGAAGAAGATACTGGTAGTTTGATATATGTCCTCGCTGCCATTGCAACATATAACTTTCTGCTGTATGCTCTGTTATATGATTTTCTAAAATAATTAAAAAAAAATAAAACCAAACCATTAAGAATTTTGAATTTTTTAGTTTCACCCCAAATTTATACAGTAATTAACACTATTCAAGGTACTATAAAATAATTAAGTGCAAAATTGTTTAAAATTACAAGTCAGAATTAAGTGGTAGCTTTATGTTTCAATAACTACCATGCTTTATACATTTTGTAAGATCTGTTCAAACAGGCCTAAATTACATTCAACAAGAAGAAAAGAATCCCACAGAGGGAGTGTTGAGAGCAAATGTGGAAAGAACTTGAAGATTTATGGAGGTATGGAAAAAATATTTGCAGACCATGAACAGCTCTCTTAGCAGTCAGGAAATCCTTAAGATTTCAGATTTCTAGAAGAAGTTCTGCTAGAGTCAAGGAAAAAAGAAAAAAAATATTTTCCTGCTGGACAACTAAGGATGCCCACTAACAACAACTTGTGGAAGAAGTCGTATTTGTATGTAAGTAGGATCCAGTTTCAGAACCACGGAAACAGAGAGACTAGAGGAAGAGAAAACTTGACCACCACTTAAGGAATTAGGAATTACGCACCTGGAGCTTCTGTTTGAAGTATGATTCAGGGGCTTCAGAAATTTAAAACTGCACTACACTCTACTCAATAGCTATAACATAAAGGTATGCTGCTGGACAATAAAATGAACTGGGATGATTTATTTCACTCTGTCTCTCCATTTTAAAATGAAATTAAAGAGGTATCATGATTATTTTTTGCTTGTCCTGTGAGTGGCAGGCAGTGGAGGAGTGGTTTAGCATGGAGGGGTGTTTTATTTTGTTTCGTTTTGTTGTTTTTCTGGGTTTTTTGAGGAGTTTTGTGTGTTTGTTTGTTTGGGTTTTTAAAAATTGTTCCTTCCATTGATCCAGTTTACAGCAGCTTGGCAAGTGCCTGAAATAGCAGAACTGGAGGACTGCAACCATGGCATGATGGCAAGAAACTCCAATCAGCCTTCTTATGAAGTAATCACAGTGAAACCACATCCCTGCTGTAAAAAGCACTGTAGGGCACACTTCTGCATGCTTGTTTTACTGCATCTGTGTTACAGGCTGCTCTTCCTCCTACTTAGGAGTCTTTAAATACCTTCTACCACCATTCGTTGCTGAAGGCTACAACACAAAGCTAAAGAATTAGGATTTCTATGGCACATCAAATTAGTCAAATATTATCATTATAATTAACTAGAAGGAAAGTAATTCAGATTAGGATGTGGCAGGTCTCTATTTTAGCTCTGCATGGGTTGGAAAAACATAGTCCAACCCTCCCTTCACCTCAGTACTGTATATTCCACAAGTAAGAAGTGACAGCACAAACACTTTTAGAGAAAGGGCTCACCCTTTTCTTATTTCTAAGCTCCAGAAATTCACCTTGAAATTCTTCTTTGAAAGTTACCCAGAAAACAGTAATAGTGTGCAGTTATTTCAAAAACAGAGAAAGTCATGCCAGAATCTATTTCTTCTAAACCCAGAAGACTAAAATGATTCTTAGGGGAAGTGACTGCTCCTTTGTTGCCTTTCTGCTTTGCTTTGTGAAGTAGGGAAAATGTCAACTGATATTTAGGCAAATTCTTTAAAACAGAACTTGAGCTCTGGTACAATAACAAAGTAGTGCGAAATTTACACAGACACTTTCAATATTGGCAGGAAGGGTGAGTTTCAATGTTTCAGGTCTAGTAGCATTAGATAAACTATTAGCTTTTTCTCCTTGTTTTTCCAGGATGCCAAGTAGCCTTTTAGAAAGTTTCTGTTCATGATCTGCAAAATATACATATCACTTCCTAGGAATTAATGCACACATGATTTAACAGAAAGGAGAATTTAACTGTTTCAGAATGGTAATTTTCATCAACTACTGCTAAGACTGAGGAAAGTTCAGCCATTTGTGTACACTGGAAATCTGTCCATTACAGGAACTTTCTCAAAAGGATTTTTACTTAAAGTTAACAGGGGCCAGAAGGATTCCCCCACAAGTCAGTCTATATTCTTTCAGCAAAACACAGTTTAGCTGACTGGATCTTATTTACCCCTTGCTTTGAAGATGAAACAACAATAACCACAAAACAGTTTGTTTGTTTTGGGGTTTTTTTTTAGGGGGAGGTTGGTTGTTTTTTTCTAAAATGATAGTGCATATCAAGTTGTAAATCAAAAGCATTAGGTTCACATTAATAATGCTATCCCAGCTTTCATACTCGGCTCTTCAAACACAAACAGAATATATGCAAATTTGCAACATTCAGTCTGAATTTTGCTTACTTCTATGAAGAATTTCTAGGGCTAATACATCTGTTTAGTCTTCTCATTCTTTCCACAAATCAACCCAGACAAATTTTCCCTCACAAGGTACTACAGACTACATTAATAAATAAATATTGCAAACCTATATATGTTGCGATAAGGAAATAGAGCTCATCTCGATCTTGATAGTTGTAGAATTTCAAGTAGATGTCAGAACATAGGTCATTTTCTGTGCAAAATACTTCAAGTCCCTTAGAAGTTAAAGGGAAGGGGGAGTAAATAAGAGTAATTACTTTCAAGCTTTAATAATCACGTTTTTAACAGAATATTCCAGTTTCTAATATCTAAAACTTAAGACTCTAAACTGGGTAGCAGTTTTGCCCACAAAGTCTAACTTTTTGATCTTTGCTATTTCCAATCATAAAAGCATTCAGTTTACACCCAACTGAGCAAATACAGATTTATAACTCTCCATGGTTGGCTCTGTCTGGACCGATTTAAGCACAGGTAAGACACATTTTTGTCCTAAGTGAATGGAGTGAGGAAAAGAATTAAATGTCTATTTAGTTTAAGTGTTTTGAGACAAAAACTTTGCTCAAGACTGAAAGCATACAACTGAGGCTCCACTGCAGCACTCTCATCATCCCTCAGCCATGTACAGCAGGATCATCATTCCATATTAAGTCTCAGCCTGAACCAGTCATCAAGCTCCCTCCATGAATCAGTCCAGAGAGAAAATACACCGTGAGAGCAACTCAATCTATCCCAAGAAAAGTGTTTGAGGTAAATGGATTGAATTGTTCCCTGGAGTTACTACCTTCTCCACTGACTGCTTATGAAATAAATTTTTTATCCTTGACAGGGTTCACTCCTCCTGTTTTCATCTTTTTGACAACACAGGAAACTAAACCACTTAAAAAACCAAAAAGGATCTTTGAGTGCTGTTCACTACTTAATCCAGAGCTTAAAATTATGAAGCTTTAACCTAAAGATGCACACAGTTTCAGCTGGTCATTTTAAGAAACAATAAATACAGCAAGATATTAAAAAAAATTGAGCTTACCAGTGGCATTAGGCCATGTCGTCTTTTATAGATGCGACGCACGTTTTGCAGTGTTATTTGTACTACTGGTTTCTGTAGGGGAGGGAAGGGGAAGAAAAGATGGAGATATTCCAGAAAATGTATGTTCTTCTACATTAGCCTCTCCAGTCAATCTGAAGTTTCTCTTACTAGGGATACCAGCAATGGGAAAAGAATATCCATTCATACCATTTTAGCAGTGGAACAGCAGCGCTAAGCAGTTACATTAAAAAGAGGAAGCCTGTCTATACTGTTTGTTCTTGTCTGAGTAGCAAAGCAAAGAATAAATAAAGAACAGTTTGTTATCACCTGAGTCTGTCTCCAGTTATAGTAATCATGCAAGAGAGGAGCAGAACACAAGAAAGTGTATTAAAAAAAGGAAGCCGTTGGGTTGCTGCGCAAACTATTTGTCAATGGTGCCACCCGGTGGACGGAAATTGAATGGCATTTTGTCATCAGCTGTGAAACACATCTTCATTGCCTGGACATACTGTTAGTATATTATTAGTATTATATGTTAGCATACTAGTGGCCATGTACATATATTATATCTCGATGCTATTTCTGTGACCAAGTTCCAAAGCAGTAATCTGTCTGTGACATGTGCTCAGTTTTCCTCTAGATGAAGAAAAGAATGGTTTAACGGAAAGCCTATCCAAGATCTTCCATGAAAAACTAAATGCTCTAAAATAAAAACTAAATATAATCAATGAATACATCAGTAAAAACTAAAAGTTCTCACTAGGAAGGAACAGCATGACAGAGTAAGAGTAAGGAATTTAACTTAAGAGAAGTGTTACAAAAAGTGATCTTTAAATATTAATGGAGACTGAGCAAAGGACATTTTGTGCTTTGTCAGCAGGAGGTAACCTTTAAGCAAGTCAGCACAGAATAAAGTCTCAGAAGTAGAGCTACACTGAATGCAACAGAACAGCACAAATAAAAGGAAAACCAAGAAGCTTCTGATTGTAACTGAAAAGAGACTTCCTGGAGATGTGCTCAATGTGCACTTAAGAGGAACAATACAAAAAATGAAAACAGTCCACTAGAGGAGCACAGGCAAAAATCACATCATAGGCAAAACCATCTAAAAGGCACTTACAGGATATCCATTAAGAGGCTGGAAGTACAAGTTCGCATCAGTAACACACACGTGCCCTGGATTAGTCACCAGTGGTGTCACCATTTCTGCTTTACACTCCATGTGCAGCGTTTCAGAAATGCTTTGAAATCTACAAGTGAAGAAAGGGAGCAAGTTTACCTCCAGTCCTCACTTATGTAGAGCTACCCTAACATTCTTTAGAAAGGTTTTAGGTTAGCTTATAACCTTGGGACACCAGAATGGAAACTTCACTAAGCCTATTTTAGACATGAAAATTCTTTGTTAAGACCTCTACTTTAACCAGCACTCCAGAAATGAAAGTTGCTCTGCTCTGCACCAGTCTCTGAGCAGTAAAGCCAGTTGACTTTTCTATGCAGTGCTTTGTTTGGCATATACTAATGCTCAGTTCACAGTTTAACAGAACAGTATGGAGAAATAAGAAACGTAACATATTCATCTTAACAACACAGAATTTCCCATTGAACATTCCAGATGGTTTCAAATACAAAGATAATTCTCTGTATTAGAGAACTCACGCTGCCCCAAACAAGCACCTATGAAGGACTGATGCTAATCAGTATTGATGTTGGTTGGTAGACTATCCAACCAACAAGCTGAAAATCATTTCCTAGGACTAAATGATTAAAGAGATACCTGTTTTTATCAAAGGATGTTCTAGCCAAGCGTGACTGCAATATAGCAGTTATCTAATGTGGAAGGAAAAAAAAAGTTAGCATGGCCTAGGATTCAAGTGCAATTAGAATTTCATTATGAAAGAGTGACGTCCAAATGTCATTATTAAACAGTGATACCAGAAATAATCAGGTACTTACCATGGCAGCTTGATCTCCCATCTTATCTAGACAAGAGGCCCTGTAAAGCTAAAGAACAAGAAGCTTTAAGCGAAATAGCAGAGAGATCTCCCTCACAGAAGTCAACAGAAACTGCAGAGGAGGGTTAGCATTCTTGGTGACAGAATACTAAATGAGCTGTTATTACTTCTTTTTAAAGCAGGACATGTTTGTTCATTGCTACTGTCATGTTATTACTTTGTCTATAGACTACCAACCTGCATAGTAAAAGCCAGTATGGGTAGCTTACAACAGCTGTCAGAACTAAATGCTGTGTTCAATGGTTACATTTTAAAACTAGATACTTCAGGAATTTCACCTTGAGAATAAATACTTAAAGAAAGCTCTCCATTAAATATCAAAAAAGATGCTGTGATGAAGTGTGTAGAGATATAAAACAACCACATACCTGATGCAGAGTTTGCACGACATCTCCTAGTTTCCCAGCAACATCCAGTTGGAATAAATGTTCTGTTCTACCCTAAAACCAAAAGTACATTTACTACAAATGAGTTTAAAATAAAGCTCAGTGAAAAAAATTAAAACTAAAATAAAAATACTCTAAAACCTGGTCAAAGTATGTTATTAAAGGTTGTGATATACCTGAAATATTCCAAAGGCATATGCTATATCTCATTTTATTTCTTTACAAATACATTTTCCCTGTAGTAAACTCTTTGTGCAGCATTTCGTCTGCCATTTAATACAATATAACATAATAACTTCGAAGTGAACAAATTAATATAGTGCAAACATCAGTATATGTAGAACTAGTACCTGTTCTGAGTATTTCAACATCGGGTAAACACATGTAAATACAGAACTAGTAAACGACATGTTGCATTGAGACAGCTACTGTATTTCTTCTAGACAAAAGATACCAGCCCATTAAATCTTTAAAGCCTAGGCTATAAAAGTCATCATTCTCCTCCACATAAAAAGTTTTGAGCTGAAAAGATTCCAAAACCAATTACAATCTGTTTTGGCTAGTCATTTATGAAAACCTCACTAACACAGCACCCGGCATACGTGGCATACTAAATTTTACCTCTACAAAGTTTTCCCAGCTTTCTTTAGTGTTGTCTCACATATTTCTCATTTTTACTTAATTATATTAAATGCATGTGCATGGATCAACTGATATTAACTCTTACACATAACTCATTTAGCAAAGGTGGTGGGATCCCTTGATGACTCCTGATTGTAGTATAAAACTGTATCAACACATTTCTGCAGAGTTTTGCAATGTCTCAGTTAGGCTAGACTTAGAAAAAAAAAGTTATCAGTAAAACTACATCAAGGCATTGATTATTGGATACAACTGGACTAATTTAAAACTGAAGGAAAGAAGATATGGACATCTAGATGATCTTCAGTGTAATACACGTGATCTGAGCTGAACTGACAGCAATCCAAGAGGAAAGCATGCTTCAGGAATCAAATGGAGCTGGAGTAAAGGGAGACAAGAAATTCAGTAGCAATTTAGATAAAAGCCTTGTAACATTTCAACCAGAGCACCATTTTCCTTCAACATGGAAAGCACGGCTGTCAGAAATCCTAGTGGATGGCCTACAAGGATTGCTTACAGCCAGGACTGTAAAAGCTTTTGTGAGCAGTACTCTCTGTAGCTCTCCAGCCATGTGCAAGGGCAACAGCTCAGTTATTTTGTAATTGATATGAAACAATCAATGCAAGACATAAAAGATAAAACGTACTACCAAATTCTAGCACTCAGTGCTGCATCTGGAACTGGCAATGACTCAAGTAGAAAATAGTTAGCAGCAACAAAAAAATTCTGAAATTGTGGAAGGCAAACTACAGTTCTTGTTCTAATATGCAGAAACATAGCTGCACTTTAGTGAAGTAAATTGTAATGGATAACTGTCAGGAATGTTTCAAGTATGTATGAATCTTGACTTAGAAGAAAATAAAGCCTTCCAAACAGCCCTTCTGGTTCTATTCCTTTTCACTGTGTTGGCACTCTGCTAAGATATTTGTATGATAGTTAATAAATTTTGCACATGGAGGCAAATCCAAAAATAGAAGGACTAGATGAGAAAACAGGTTCAACTCATAAAGAATTAATGGCATAAAGCAAACAAGGATTTTTTTTTAAAAAATCCTAGTTTAGAGATAGATCCAAATCACAAAAATCAACCAAAAGCAGTTGTTCTTTGCTGTCCATTGCAGTAATGAAAATTTATGGACTCCATCATTCTTGAAATTTCCTACTTGAACAATTATGTTGAGAAATAGAATGCTACCTGTTTCAATTAGTGGGCAAATATGGGGTTTAATGACTTTGCATTTTCATTTTGTGTTTGTGTCTTAACCTATCTTGCATTCCAGGTGAAAACCCCTTACTTCTATGCCTTGAAGCCTCCAGGCTGAGTCAGAACAGATCCACCCATCTGCAGAAGGCAACCAGAAGTTAAGCTCTGATTTCTATTGTGAGCAGCCTTATCTGCCATTTCTTTGAACTGTGAAGCACTCAGCTGGGAAATATCAATTAGCCATCTCTCGTGAGCAGAACTGAGGAGAAGCCACTTAGTCAGGATGCAGCATCCACTGCATACGAGCAGTCAGCTGACAGCTCCAACTGTTGAGCCCACAGAGCTGCACATCAAGGTAAATAGCAAGTGTCAAGTCTGCAGCATGACCGTCAGGAAATATCACAAACCCATTACAGAAGAAGTCAGTTACTTGTTTTATCTAATACACACAATTACATTTTTTTAAGCTTTATACTCATATTCCTCAAAATATAATTACCTTACTCTTTCAGAAATGAGAGCACAGATCCTTGCAAAACATTGGTTTGCTAAGAATAACAACGATAAAAAAAATACTCACTCTTACTGTTTTATAGGGCGTAATAACATTTCTTTCTTTAATGAGAAAAACCTGAAAGAGCAAGAGATGTTACAGTTTCAGTCCTTAAAAAAATTTAATAAATCAGAAGTACTGATACAGACAAAGCTAAGAACATTCTTCAAACAAGCAAAATATTGGGCTGGGTTGCAATATCCTGCTTTAGCTACCCCAGATAAACCGCACAAAAACAATGACCTTTTATGGCAGCTAACTACAAAAGGGGCAAGTGTCCAGTTTAGTTCAGAGGCTTACTTATGCAGTTCATTAGCGGGTTCTTATTCTAATCATATGATCTTCAGGGAGTTGCAACACTGAAGCCAGTAAGCACAGCCATCAGTCTAATCACACTCAGTGGAAGGATCCTTCTCCTCTTTTCTTCTAGTGGCTCATGCCCTTCACAACATCAACTACTGTGTAAACCTTCTCAAATGAACCCCTTCTTCCACTGCCAAACATTCTGCTTCCAATTCCAACCACCATGAACACCAGATTTCCTCTCTCATACAACAGCATGATTTTGAACAGTTTTGTTTCTCTGATGCCATTCTTACATCTAAGAAGATCTTCCCTCCCTAAAACCCACATGAAACTACTCTTCTTCAAAACATTCTCACAAATCCCATAGACAGACTTGACTTTTAGCACATAGGTTTGTGGGTACTGCCTTACTATCTGCTTTCTGAAAGGAGACAAGTCAGAAATAAGTTGTGGTTTTGCACTGATTGTAGGGAAGGCTCAAACTTGCTAAATCTCAGGCCTCAGTCTAAGGCTCAAACCAAGAGCAAATACTAAACTTGCAAGAACAGATGCTGTACCACTCTCTAGCCAGAAGCCTTCTGGTTGGCAGAGCCAACCTTCACTAAATGACTACTCACAGCACCGTCCAGCCAGAAGAAAGTGAGTGGTGTGCTGAGAAGCTTACAAGCTCAGCACATCTCGCTAAGTGCTATGTTAAAAAAGAATGGCAATTAGTGCCTTTCATCTGACATCAGCTTGTACAGACCTGAATCAGGCCACAGGAGAGTAAGAATAAGAGATAGCTGCTTTACACTCACATTGTTCTTCTGCATGATAGTTAAAATCTTTTCTACATTGAGAACCCCAAATTACATGAAAAGTAGACAAATAAAAAACATTGAAGGAGAACAAAAACCTTTAGCATACTGTATTAATTTCCTATCTTGGAGGATTTGTCCCCAACTTTATCTTGAGAAAAAATACTGAAATAATCTCCAGTTTTTCCACCTGCTGTCTTTTATAGCCATTAGTTTCTAAGTTTTTCATTATATAAAGCAAAGCTTCTTAACCAGCTATGCATTAACAAGTTCTTCAGCCTGAAAAAAAAGGCAAACATGTTTAAGATATTCCAATTACTTGCTAGGTGCAGCTTCCTACAAAGCAAAAATTCACCTTATCATAAATATTTTTTTCTTAGATAGTGATTTGTCATCAGTAAAACTACTGAGTACTTCACACTCTGAAGTCCCTATACCTTTTATACAAAACAAAAGCATTTATCGTGCCACCCAACTATTTCAGAATGTTTCCCCAGAGACAGAAGGAGGACGGGCAAGGTACGTGTGGCGTGAGGGAGAAGGAGGAGTGCTAACCACACTTGGCATTTTAGAAGTTAATTCTCCTTTCCTGTGAGATGTTTTTATAATAGTTTGTTCTTCAGAACATACAGTAATGATGTATGGTGGAACTGCATAAACAATTAAAAATATCTTTTTTAAAAACACGCAATACATAAAAAAATTGCCAAGAAACACAATTTCTTGGCAACACAAAAAACCTTGACTACACAATACTCTTCACAGAAACAATTTCAAGATGAAATTAAATATACTGATTACTTTAACACAGTCCACAAATGTCTCCGGCATAGACAATATTAAATGCTTGAGTTTGCTTTTGACTGCAGTAGTACTTAACTGAGCATGGCTATCAACTTTTGGTATTGTTAAAGACAGATTTTACAAAGATGCCAGAATGTTTAAAAGGATGTTTCCCACCTCATCTCTGTTCTTCCCTGAAATGAAAACATGAACATTTTTTGGAAACTTTTACAGCTTTGGAACACTTGTCAGCTGCAATTTAGCAAAGCTTGAAGTACATTCCCGTGCTTAACCTTAAATACATACATATCCAAGTTAATCACAATACATTAGTGAAACTTGAACCCAATATTTCAGGACAGCTACTGAAAATTATTTGATGGACATACATGTTTTCACA